CTATTCATTTTTATTCTCTTCTCACTTGAGAATGATGACATGGAGTCATCGAAACGTTGTGTTTTTCTCGCTAATATTTATTCTTAAATGTCTAACAAAATCTAAGTTCATTATTATTATCATTAATTTTTGATAGTATTATTTAGCAGAATACGAATAATTTTAAAGTGCTACTGAGATCAAATGTGGCGTTTGCCAGATTTTTCACCTTTTAGAATCCTTACCGGCTAGTTACCACTTCCACGGAATTTGGAACGAAAATTCGAAGTCCAAGTCTGTTTTTCTTAGACTTGTTTTCCTTGATTCAACGTCCGCCATTACTTAAACTGCGAAATGGCGGCGCGTTAGTCTGTGACGTCATCTTATTCCCTAAACGTTTGCGCAGGCTTTAAACCAAGAAATGGACGGAGATTATTGTACTTGAACAGTTCTAGGAGAGTCTAATCGTCGTTTTGAGGCCGGAAATGGCACCCTAGCGTTGTGTTATGCAGGACTGAGCAATCATTCTTTAATATGAATACTGAAATATCACTACACAGGCCAAACGAAATAGTTACGAAAACTAATGGGTGGCATTCGAACGCCTACATCGCTCAAACCTCCAGCCGAAAGGAGTATCGACGTAGATTAGGCATGAAAAAGGATTGCCCGTGTGCCATTCCTAGAATATGGGAAACACTTTTCAGCTGGTCACGTCTCCAAGAAGTCGCCAAAGAGCGAGTGTTGATAGATCGTACTCGTTCCGTTTGTTATCGCCTCAAGTTTTCTAGGCCTCGAGAACATGCAACGATTGAACTTCGCGTGAGTTAAATTTGTTTTGGTTTTCTTTGTTATCTATTTATTTATTTTCTAAGACTCAAAATCCGCTTTGTAAGATTTGTACACAAAAAAATTTGTTCTACTGGAATAAAGTCTTACCTTTCCTTTTAAAATTTGCTTTCAATTCATGAATATCGACAGCTCTATATTTCTGTAAGACAAGCCTTCTGGCAGGCTACCATTCTGTGGTTAATTAATCTGCCCTAAAGATGTAGACCAGCTCATACCTATACTCTTCAGGTTTATTAAATTTTATATAAAGCACAGTACAGGTAGTTAATCTTACTGCACACGACCAGCAAAGCAGCAGGTACTATTTTGTTTAAAACGGAATAATTTCATTAACTAAAAAATTAACAGGAGTAATTATATTTTGGGGAGCAGGTCAAATTTGTCCCTCTATGATATGCATAGCGTGGCGACACTAATGAGGAAAAGTTAGAACATGTACATTTATTTACTTATTCTGTTTTCTAATTCTTGGTTATAGAAACAAATTGGTGGTTAATTACTTATCCTCCATTGTTGTGGTAATATGGGCTATCAATCCTGCCACTGGCAGGTTGAAGGGAAACAAAGGTGGAAATTCAAGGCCAGCCGCTTTTGGGTAACCTACCCAAAGTACAAGGATGCAAAGGAGATGTCATGACAGGCCAGGGTAGCATTCAGTCATAATGAAGTTTTGCTTAGTGCATAGATCAAGCAGATGCATACCAACTTACATAAATGCTTTCCTGTAAAAACAAAAAAAACAAAAAAAAATGTGCAACATGTGTGGGCAGACTCCTTTTTTTCTTTTTTTCTTTTTTTTTGGTTGATTAATAGCCGTATCATCAGAAGATATTAAAAAAAAGGAGCCAGTGAGCTTAACTATAGTACACTAGGTGCGTTACACTTTATGCTTGACAATGGGTCAGAAGAGTAAGCCATAAAAAAGCTTTATTGATATCAATGAGTGTTCCAATAATCCCTGTGTAAACAGTGATACTTGTACTGACTTTGTGAACAGTCATGTTTGTGCTTGTCAGCCTGGATTCGGGGAACTCCATAGTGAAACAAGAAGCAAAAGAAGACTGTGATTTGTTTATGATGTTGACCTTGATAGTATTTCTTCTGAAGTTTTTCTCACTACCTCCATCCATCACTGGTAACCCCACAATGCAGTGGATAAAAAAGTGTTCAAATAAATAAACAAATGGATCACTCAATAGTAATACTAGAATTGTCCTGCCTCACTAGATGTTTAGAAACATGATTACCTTACGGTAAAATTAATTTAACCTTCGTTAAGATTTATTTCCTCTGTTCTAAGTTTTTGGGAGCACATTCAAATACAAATGATTTGTAGAAGGGAGACTACCAGGCCAGTTGTTTATAATGCTGACCTTGATAGTATTCCTACTGAGGTTTTTTCTCACTATATCCATCCATCACTGGTGACCCCACAATGTAGTGGATAAAAAAAGTGTTCAAATAAATAAACAAATGGATCACTCAATAGTAACATTAGAATTGTCCTGCTTCCCTAAATGTTTAGAAACGTGATTACCTTATAGTAAAATTAATTTAACCTTTATTGAGATTTATTTCCTCTGATCTAAATTTTTGGGAGCACATTCAAATACAAATAATTTGTAGAAGGGAGACCACCTGGCCAGTCTGAGGTTAGAGAAGGTGGTGAACTACAGATTTGCAGCAGGCCATGCAACCATGTAAACTATACGACCACACTTCTTTATTACTTATTACTGTGAAACTAAGAAAGCTATTAACACTTTGATTTGATTCTCACAGGACAGTTGTGTATAGTTCAACACAAAATTCAGGAGTGAGCAAACTCCCTATTGCTGCTGTTTAGTTGTTTTGAATTGCGAGGAAATTACATGTGTTTGTGGAGTTCACAGTCTCTTGGTGTCACAGTAACAGTGTGAACAAAATACGTCTGTTCCATGAGAATTACAAAATGTAGTCCTTTGTAAAAGTTTATCAGCATTCTGATTTTTTTCCGAAGATGAAAAGCTGCACAAACACGACCCATTATAATTTCTAGTAAGTAAAACAAAAATCATAGAAATAAACAGGCTATTGATTTTCTTGGAAACCATAATATGCCACAGTTTCGCTTGGAAAAGCGTTGCATAACGGCTTAAAGCCATTGCATGACAAAGGGAGATTTGAACTTCCAGCGAAATAAGAACAAGGATAAACTGGCTGGGAGAGTACTGCTCGAAGGAACCTTAAAACAATAAATATGGCTTTTTCAAGAAATATTTTCATCCTGCTACAAAAGCGTAACTAAGAACATATGTGCTAAAATTTGTATTATGTACTTCTGTGTCACCAGTAAGCCGCTTTTGAAGCTCTAGCTCCCTCATTTCTTCACTAGCCACGTTTAAATGTCTTCCTCAAAAGCGACGGCCTCTTCCTCGGTTGCACGTGGCTCTACTTCTTCGTCGCACGGAGCGCGATATATCCAAAATTCATGAGACCCCTAATCAGAAGAAACAGAACCATTACTGCCGTTGAAAATAAAGAAAAGCGACGATTTTCGAGCAAGATCGCCACTGAATTTACTATTTCCTTCGACAGAGTTTCGATGAAAGGAATAATATGATGTCACAATGGGGAAAGATGCTGAGAATTATCGTTGGCTCAGTAGTTGTATGGTGAGCAATGGCGGACGGAATTTAGTGAGTTTTTGTCAAATTGTTTCGGACTTTTTTCTGCCACGATAGGTCTGAATTGTATTTTTTCCTTTTGTTTAGGATCCAAACTTAAATTGTCGGCCTGAAAAAGTTGTTTTCAAGAATATCAATCTTCGTCCCAGTAGCACTTTAAAGTGTTTATTCTCCTCGAGACTCCAAAGTGTCACATTCAGGCTTTTTGACCAAAATAAGTTTTTTACATCTTATTGGTATGAAAGCATTTCATAATGCAGAGAAAGTGGGGGAGTCCAGGGGAGAGATGAAAACGAAAAAAAATAGAAGTAAAGCGGACTGACGGATGCAACAATTATTGTTGCTACTTCTTTTTCTTACGTCATCCAACATTTAGGAAGCTTTCAATCCTAATTTCATACGATGAATGAGGAGTTCTCGCATACTTGATCGTGGAAACAAAGCAACTTGGCCTCGTGTTTTCAAAGTCAATTCCATAATTTTCATTTTACCAACAGCGCCTGAAGTATTTTTTTTAAACAAAAGGGAAATACTACCCACGTCAATCGTACAGAAATATTTTTGCAACTTTACGCCATCTTGTTCTTAATGAAGGCATACGTTGCTTCTTGATTATGAAAAGGAAATAATTAACGCTACAATTGGCTTCCAATTACACACGTTCGACATCACCCTATCAGTAAATAATCCACGCTGATTGGATGATGGTAAACAATGCCCTGTTTCAAATACCATCATCCAATCAGCGTGGAGCAAACAGCGTGATGGTTGCTCCCTGGCACACGAAATCTCTAGTTTTTGAATGGATCTTCGATTGAATGACACGAGAAGAAGCGTCGACTTTTTAGTTTATCTGGTGGTCGATTTGGAAGCCGGGTGATTCTAATTTCTGGATGAAAATCGGCTTCGCGCTGTAGTGGTTGGAAATGAGCTTTCCACCCCTGTCTCCTTCTTATAACGTAAAATAACAGTCAACGCAAATCCCACCAAATCGCTCAAATTCGCCATTTAGAACCACAGAAACGACAATACACAGCAAGTGAGGTAGTTTTATATTTACTTTGAGCCTTTATATTTTGAACAAACGACCAGATACGCCGCTTGTGTGGGCCCCCTGTTGTCTAATTCTCCAACATTATTGTTTTGTTGATTTTACCCGTTAGATTCCTGATTCATTCAGCTACGTTACGCCCATTCCGCAGATGGCTTACGTATGCGCGAACCCTAGGAGCCTGTACACTCTGTCATTACCCTTGTGGTGTTTTGCAGAGACATGGCAGTTACCTTTAAAATGGTGTCAAGGAACTATATCGATGAAATTATGAGGCCTCAACCAAACTCTTTTTTTTTCCTTTTTGTTTCTTGGTCATTTGAGAGGAAAGCCAAAGTGTTTCACGTAAAGAAGAGAAAAAAAAAAACACTCTCTCAAGGAACATAATAAGATCAATTTATCTATTTGACCCAAGGGTAAGATCTTTGCTGTCTCCGCCTTTCTGAAAACAGAAGCAAATACTACACCGTGGAGTCATTAATTAATCAACGATTCGGAGAACATGGTATGCCACTTTACGCAGTGTCACAGAAAATGCCAAGATCTAATCAACCGTTTGCAAGAAGAAAAGAAACTTTAATAAGCAAATTGCATCATCATCATTATCATCATCATCATCAGCAGCAGTAGCAGAACTTGATTCAAAATGCATAACCATCTCCACTTAACAGCTCAAAGGGGACGATGGAAAAGCACACTAGTGACTACTATAGAAACCGGCGCTATTGTCACAAATCATGGACAATGTACTTACAAACCAACTTAAGGTTTGATTTTAGCTTCAAATCTTTATATATATATATATATATATATATATATATTTGAGACTTGTTTTTTTCCCTCACTATTGTTTTACGAGCGGCTTTTCTGTCATTGGTCCATTTATATATAATACTATATTATTAGCTGTTATTAGTTGTAATAAAATTCGCAACTAGCAATATTTTGCCTGACTATGCCGTACTACGAAATTACACTTTCAGTTACTGTTGTTTTGTACAATGTAACTGATGTAAGAACACCTCAAACTATCGCCTTTTGCCTCATTTTCGCGCAACAAGAATTCGTTTAGTTATTCATTAAGGGAACACATGATCCTATTCTTATTATTTTTTTCCAGCTTTCAAGAATTATCTTAATCATCTCAGGTTTGACTTTAAAAAAGTTATCCTTTATACAATAAGCGCTAGAATAGATCAAAACTTGGCAACTACATGGACGTTTTGTTCGAGACTTTTTTCGTCTTTTCGCCGTCCTTCAGTGGCTGAACGTTTGTTTTTCTAAAGACAGCAATGGCTGTGGCATCCTCATCTACTTCCGAGGGCACTACGGAACTTCGTTTCGTGCTCGTCTCATCAACCATTGCTGGGAAGATGGCCTGAATCCTTCTTCTCAAACGAGCTCTTATCTGTTAATGGCAGGTTAACTTAACCACATTAATACATTTAAGGAGCTCTTCAATCAAAGTCTTTTTGCCTTTGATTTTGTTTTAATATGAATGATCATTCAATATCAGCTAGTTTTCTCAAGCCATAACTGGATTTGAGATCATTCAGTTAATTGGAGCCAATAAAGATAGGTAAGGTTATACAATGTGATAGAAGCTGCGTAATTAGCTTTATAATCTGACAAATCGATGACCGGAATCGTGATTTAGACATCTATGTTCTTTCTTCTTCCCCCCTCCCCCCTCCTCCACACTCCTTCCCCTTCCAAATGGACGGGAATTGGTTTCAAAGTAGAATTGGAGCTCTTGCACACTTGTGCACCTCCGTACCCGACAAAATAAGGGAATGCATTGATCGATTTGAGCTTGTAATGCTACCCTTTGATCTAAGTACTAGCCCTGTCCAATAGGGCTTCTTTTCTTTGACAATACACATAAAATAATATAAAACATCACTGACCTCGCTGTTCCTCCCGCAGTGAAAAAGAAAGATGAAGAAACCCTGTTGAATTGAAGAGAAGTCAGAGTTCGTGTCAGGGTATTACGATTATGCAAGGATTTTGGCGAAAACTAATGCAGCTTTTAAGGCATTGAGCTAGAGAAGTAATGTTATCTAAAAATAAGACATTTCTCTTCATGAAGCTTTCTGATGAACAAGATTCCCGGGACTGTACATGTGACAGAAAAAAAACGACTTTTGAACTCTGAATACTTGGAAAAAATCTTACCTGTGTAGAGTTGAAGATCGTGAAGATGTAGGCGAAGGCTTTGTGCAGCGGTAACAGTAATCCAAATAACCACGAGATCCCTAGCAGAGGAATCATAACCACGCATGCTTTCACACCAAGCCTACGAAAAAGTTAGAATCGTTGTGCTATCATTGTCGATATGTAATGAGGCACCGTTTGGTATAGATTATTGTATATTAAGGTGATTTCTCCTTGTTACAGTTACTGACTAAAGATTCCACCTTAAGGAGGTTTGGATCCCAGATTGCAGTTTTCAGACCAAGACCTGATTCCAAGACCCAATAATCCAGAGACCGGATTTCCTTATATGAAATAAGCCATACCTAATTTGTTCGCTGTGTTTGTCTTTCTCTTGTTGCATGTTCGTCATCTCCTTGATGACCCGCCCGAGGATCAGAATGTTGAACTTAAAAGAAGAAAATAAGCTAATGTGAGTCTCTTGAAAGTTTGTCAGTCTCGATAATGATAATCGTGGTTATTGCCACTTACAAATTCAATCAGCACAACAAACACTATGAATATCCAGATCAGACCGTTGGCCGAAGACATCCAGCAGCTGTAGGGAAATTAAAGGAGAAAAATTAAGCCATAAATAAATGCTTTGTTTGTCAATTAATGACTTTTCCATAAGGTCGTAGTAGTAGCGAGTAGGATAAATATTGTAAGAAACATACAACTTTTTTTAGAGACATGTTTCAGCATGCTTATGCCATCTTCAATCAATGAGTAACTGAACGTGAGTAATTAAATAACAAACAAGTAGATGAATAAAATATTTACAGTATGATGTAATACAAAAGTGGGTACTAATTACAGCGTGACAACAAACATGAAAATAAAGGTGTGAACTAAAATGCTACAAAAGTGTTATAATGCTGTAATTGTTTGTTAAGTTCAGGTTTGATCTTATTTATATAAAAAGCTTCTTTGAGTTTTAAATCAATTGAGTTGCTGGCAGAATCCAGAATACTAAAGCAAGAAAGGGAGTATTTGTTCTTACAAGAAGGAGATGTGTTAAAATGCTTAAAAATATGTGAGATTTTATCGCTTTCCGTGTGCTCCTTTATCCTAGTAGAGAAGTGGTGACTAGTTTCGCCAAAATAACGGGAATTACATCCCACATAAGAAAATTGATAAACTACCATGGATTTTACAGCATCAGGAGTACGATCTTCAACACTGAACATGTTTTTAATTTTGAACATTTTTGTAGCATTTTAGTTCACACCTTTAATTTCATGTTTGTTGTCACGTTGTAATTAGTACCCGCTTTTGTATTATATCATAATGTAAATATTTTATTCATCTACTTGTCTCTTATATAATTACTCACGTTCAGTTACTCATTGATTGAAGATGGCAGAAGCATGCCGAAACATGTCTCTAAAAACAGTTTTATATTTCTTACAATATTACATGACTCTTAAAAGAAAGTGCTTTTTGGCATGCTAATATGGATTTGGCGCGCATTTAATGATCGATTATGCCTTTTCTCCTTATTATTGACTGAATTCATGAATAATTACCGCTCAAAACAACCTAGTTTAGACTCTGAATTTTTTAAGTCTTCGATCCCCAAACACAATAACAAAACAAACAACGAAGAAAACAAAAAATGGAGAAAACGTTTGATTTCTATATCAGTTTTGTTCTGCTGTAGCGGGATTGTCTTTTATTTATCTCTTTATTTCTCTATTTATTTTTTATCTCAAAGAATACTTGTTTCAAATCATTTCTTGGGAAGCTGAGTGGGATAACATTAAATCAGTACGATGAAACTCAACTTACTATTTCTCACTCACAAAACTTTCGATACCATCTTTTCCGGCTGCAATACTCAGGGATATGGCAACAATGAGCGCAGGAAGGCCTACAAAATTAGAATTCAAAACTTGTTCTTATCGGCCATGAGAATAATTTTCCTTTTTCATCTCGGATAGTTACCTTTAGCACCGCTATACATAGCTATTTAGGAATGTAACATGCATTATAATTGATACAGTGTATTCCTGGTCTCGTGAACTCGGACAGAAATTTTTACCGGGAATCCTTATGGAACATCGAGGCACAAAAACAGGAGTCAACAAGAACCAAAGAAAAGTTTCTTCGGAGCAGTTGTCCCTAAAACTAGTTGGACCTAATGGTCATGGGTAACAGAGGGGACAGCAGGTAAAACTGTTTATTGAATAATCTAATGATCACAGAATACCTTACCCCACGAGATTCCATGGCAAATTTTTAACTTGTTATCAACGTTGTAAACTTTCACAACAAACAAGTAGAGGTAGATTCCCTCGATTAACATCCAGCAAAAGGCGGCCATCAAGAAATACTGCACAAGGGCCGCCACTGTAACGCAACCTCCCTAAGAAAATGGACGGTGAAAGAGGACAGGTTCGTGTGTGATTCGCATAATTGTTTTATTTGCATGGTGAATATCCATAACGCGTGTCATCCTGACTCTTTTTTGAGAGTGACCAATGGAAAAGCCTAGAAGGGTCCTTTCATTTAGTGGTGGAGTGCAGTTAACTGCTCTTTTTTTTAGTTAGAAAGAAAAAAAATAATATTCGATGAAAATGGAATTAGTTAAATATGTTTGAAAAGCCTTTTAATCGCACTAGTTATATGTACTTCCCAGAAAATATTTGTTTTCGTTCAGGAGATTATTATTTTTTTTCTTATTTAACTCATCACCTCATCCATTTCTGTATTTATTTAATTGGCCCCATCCAATCTTGACGATAAAAACTAAAAACTTCTGAGAATTTTTACCTTGTTCATAGTTGCTCCAATCCCAACAAGAAAGATGATTTGTCCCGCACCGAGAGAAGCGACTAGACTCACTCGAATCTGGGATAAAGGTCCTCTTATGTCTCTGGAATCGCAAAAAATTAACAAATAAATAGATAGATAAATAATAATAGTAATAATAATAATAATAATAATAATAATGAATAAAAGAAATATGCTTTAAAAAATAATAATCGACTAAGAAAATTGATACACAATGTACAACAGTAGTTGAATTAAGGTAACAACGTATCATTTTACCAGTTTTACTTTTTCTTTCTTTTCTATTAGTAAAAGTTAAAGTATCCCGACAGTGATAAATCAACGAACTCAAGGAAGTGAGCAGACAAGGAGCAACGCGGTTAGTACTGCACGAGTATCACTGGTAACTGACTGTTGATTGAACCCAGCATACTTGTAAACCTTTTTAAGCTCAACTCTCACTGATTTGACTAATTTACTATAACTAATATATATTTCGTATGTCTAACCACTGAACTCACGTGAGAGCAACATAGCTGACTATCGTCAGTGAGATCCCAATAACAGAGAGAGTCAGCCCGATACAAGTAAGAATTTCCAGGGCCTTTTCGTCTTTCTTTAATGGAAATGAAAAACAAAACAGCACACAAAGGTAATAACAATACTTAAAATGAAATCGAAATCTAGATACATCGACCTTACCAAGTTTTCAGTGTACTTCATCATCTAATAATATATTATTAAATACTGGATCATTGGATAATGCAATTGAAGACTTCTTATTGGCTTAGCCATTATAGCATATGAGCCAATATACCATAATCTAATATCTGTACATTGTAGCATCCGGTTCCTTCTTACAAAATAAAGCCGAGAATATTTTTCTAATATCTTGGGGGCGTTTTTTTTAATAACACAATTATTCCACTCGTGCTTGCTGGATATGAGATGATTATAGCCAACTCGGCGCTACGCACCTCGTTGGCTATCTATCATCTCATATCCAACGCGCGCTCGTGGAATATTTGTTAAGTATTTTAATACGTATTTTCTTAGATATTCGAGTATATCCTGTTGTACAGGGTAACCATAGGCGTTATGGTGACACCTACTTCTGATATACCGGCACTCTCTGGACCAGATGTTGTCTCCAGAAGAACAGCAAAATGAGTCAAATGATTGCAGGTGCACTCTGTTTGGTGTGCATCGCTAGATTTGACAAAGCACCCTTGTCCTGACCAGCCAATGGGGCTGTGGCATAAGAGAGATAAAGTGACAATGAAGTGAGACTCCGATGCACAGGTCATGCAAGTTCAGCCCCATACATGAAATAAGAAATGTCACTTATCAGAGCGAACATTTTCGGCTATTAGAGGATGATCTTATGAAAATTCAGTCATGGCTGGCGGTCAATATTTTATGTTCTTCAGTACACTACTACTATTCGCGTCTCTGACGTCCCTCTATTCGAATATTCCATCGCTCTCGGCATCTAGTAATGCCTTCCACGGGAATGAACAGGCTTTGTATAAGAATGTTCATACTTTGGAATGCTGCGGCGAGCTGTATTTTCCTGCTGGTTGGCGGCAAACGATCCCACACATGTCAGCACTTCGCAGAATCCGGGAAAAAGCATTTACTAAAGCAAAGTTCGAATACTACCCAAAGTCAACTTCTACACATTCTCTTCGAATTTTGGCGCTATCCGGCGGCGTCGAACTCAATCCTGCCGATTTTGCTGGCGGCAACGAGGAAACGAAGACAAAGTCAAGGCTCAAACATCAAAGCAATGTCACCATTGCTCATTTGAATATTCGCTCACTGAAGAATAGAAATCATCACATCTTGGCTAAAGATTTGGGGCTAAAACATAAGCTAGACATTTTCAAAATCTCAGAGTCCTGGCTAGATCATACTCTAACCGATCTGGAAGTACATTTCCCCGGTTATACGCTTTACAGGTTAGATCAAAGTCAAAGAAAAGGAGGAGGAGTATGTGCATTTGTAAACTCCAACTTCAAATGCTCTCGACTGAATGAACCATCTTATATTGCTGAATCGGGATTCCATCAGTTATTGCTCAAAGTGCAAGTAAAGAACTTCAAATCATCTCTTAACTTCACAGCCTACAGACCCCCGAATACTTCTCTCTATTGTTTCGAGTCTGAATTCAGCGACGCGTTGACCTCAGCTATGTCAATCAATATTTCCATCTTTATTTTGGGCGACCTAAATTGTAATCTCCTCAATGCCAATGACACCGGATCAAAATCTCTCCTGGATTTCTGCAACAGCTTTAATCTAACTCAGCTGATTGAAAGACCCACCAGGATAACAGAGACTTCAGAGTCCTGAATTGATGTAATACTCGCTTCCAACAAGAGCCTCATTAGTAAAAAAAAACGTCTTTGCCAGCTCGATAAGCGATCACGATCTCATTGTTGCATCTTTGAACCTCAAGAAACCGAGACCGAGACCTACGTATATATCCAGCAGAAGCTTCAAAAACTTTAAAAAGGATGCATTCTTGGACGACATATCAAATGCCCCTTGGTCGTTAGTAGACGTTTTTGAGGATACGATGATAAACTCGACATTTTCAATTCATTATTTCATCAAATCATCGATCAACATGCAACCGTCAAAACTGTCAAACTGAGAGCTATACCAAACCCTTTTATAGATGATAACATTCATGGTTTAATGAGGACAAGAGAACACTCGCAACGACTAGCTAGAGAATCAAACCACCCAGCTATGTGGTCTGGCTACCACAATTTCAGAATGGACGTCAAGCGGGAAACACGGCTCGCACAAAGGGAACTCGTTGAAAAACAAATAAGACAGAATCCCAACAATACTAGAAGCATCTGGAAAACAATCAGATCGTGTGTTCCAAAAAAGCCCATGAATGTCAAGAGTTTTACTAAAGATGATCAAACCGTAGCAAACGAATTCAACAAGTTCTTTAGCTTGGTTGGGAAATATACGATGGAAAAAAATTAAACCTCTCGCTAACAAATTTAAGTACGCGCCCGCCCCGGACACCTTCATTCCGAGAAACTATCCAACTTCAGAACAGTTCTCTTTACCTCGGTGGAATGCTCTCAGGTTACAGACATTGTTAATTCAATACCTGACAACAAAGCTTCAGGAATTGACAAAGAACCACCTCGTATAACTTAAAGAGAGTTTGCAGCCATAGCTCCTTGTATTGACCTCCATCATTAATGCCTTTCTTAAAAGTGGTGTTTTTCCAGCTTCTTGGAAAATTGCCGAAGTTTTTCCAATTCTGAAGAATGGAGATCATGAAGAAGCTAACAACTATAGACCAATATCGCTGCTCCCAATACTCTCTAAGATATGCGAAAGAGCGGCCTGCATTAAATCAGCTGTCTTCGTATTTAACAACTAATCAAAGAATATAAGCAAAACAAAGCGGCAACAAAAGATGGCATTGCACCGAAACAGCACTGATCTCTACTACTGATTTTATTATTCGCGCGATCGACCAGAAGAAATTCACTGCAGTCGTATATCTTGATATGAGTAAAGCCTTTGACACTATCAACTATGTGATTCTTCTAAAGAAACTAAACGAAATTGGTTTATCATCTTCTGCACTTCAATGGTTCGAAAGCTATCTTTCTCAAAGAAAACAAGCAGTCCACATCAACTCTGTATTATATGATAGATTACCAGTAGTCAGTAGTTTACCACAAGGGAGTGTACTAGGAGCATTATTATTTAGCATTTATGTAAACGACCTATCAAACATCTGCCAGAATTGTTCAACTGAATGCTATGTGGACGACACAAAGTGTCTACTATCCTTTAGTGCGAATAATTCTGCCCAAGCTATAAAATGAGTGAGCTCTGATCTACAACGTACACGCGATTGGTGTTTCGAAAATTGCTTAATGCTTAATCCTGAGAAGACTAAACTGATTGTCTTTGGCAGTCGAAGAATGCCTCTTAAAGCTCCAGACTTTAAGTTGTCCCTGCACGGAAAGGAAATTATCCCAGCTCAAACAGTCAAGGATCTTGGTGTTATTTTTGATCCCACACCCTCCTTTAACAATCTTATCTCTGCGACTGTCTCATCTTGCATGTCGAAACTACCCCAACTAGGTCGCATTAGAGTCGCCTTTTACAAAGATCTGCTTAAAACTATAATTAACGCCCTCGTTTTTAGTAAGATGTACTACTGTTCGTAAGTACGGTCTTCCATATCAGCTTGTAATATTCATAAGCTACAATATGTTAAAAATTTTGCCGCCCGCATTATTTGCAATGTAAAGAGGTACGATCGAAGAGATTCAACCTGTCATACTGCCAATACTTTGCATCTATCATTTATTCGTCCAATATTTGACTATGGTGACACTGTATGGAACTGTTGTGGAGTTAGCAATGCCAGACTGCTGGATAATTTTCAAGGAAGGGCATCCAAAATTATTTCAAAATCTAAGGATAGTGGTCAAGCTTTAATGGATCTTAAATAGCCTGTATTACAATCGATGAGAGACGAACATACTTTTAAACTGATTAATAAATGTATTTCTAGTAACTGTCCTCAATTTTTTAAGAAATATTTTAATTTTAATAATACCAGAACAAGAGAGGGAAATTTTCTTCATTTTCCTCGCGTTAGAACTGAAACAGCCAAGAAATATATATATATATATATATATATAACTAACTGCAGACAGTACTGTTTCGGCCTTCTGGGCCTCATCAGTGCAGTGCTAATGCTAGGATGGAGGAGAACCAATATGGTCACCCCAAACGATCCAACCTTTGTGGTATCGTCTATATATTTTTTTTTATCATGGATGTGTTGTTTATAATAGTCACATTAATTAGAATTTTCTGTAATATTAAAATTTTTGGATCCTATTCATCGGGGCTCCTATTGTTAGCAGAGCTTTACGTTCTGATGGGACTACCCTGATGTTGGAATTTCTATTTATTTTAAATAAAGGTGTCATTCACTCATTTCAACAAAAAGGCAACGAAATTTAGTTAGCCAAAATTTCCTTTTGGCTTCATTTAATTTTGATATGGGGACCGGCGACGCAATTTTCCCTTCCAACTGTAAATGAATGGCAACGACTGTTTCGAAAAATGGCAACAACTGTTTCAAATGGCGACGGCCGTTAGTATACGAAAGGGAAAATTGCACCGGCGACACCGGTCAACATAAGCTATACATTATCCCCACTTCATTTGACCAATGCTAGCCTCGTGATAAGTGTTGAAGAAAGACTAAAGGAAATTTCCAAGCATATTTACCTCTCATGAAACATATTCCAGAACACACACTTTTTCTTGATATTTGAATTCTAAAATGATACAAACAAAGGAAACAACAGCATAAGCAAATTTAATTTCATGCAATTGACTCAGTATCACCTTGAAAAGACGAAGAGTAGTGAGTTTCTTAAGAAAAGAAAATCCCAAGACATGTTACCTTAATGTTTTTGAACTTCAAAGTTATATTTTCCTGCAGTCTCGTGGGCAGAGGAGTTATTGTGGCAGCCATAATAATAGAGTTGACGTCCCTTTCTCGGAGCAATGGAAGTCAGGATTACTAAACTTAAAATGCACGCTAACTACGAGTTTACAAAATAAAGACAAAAAGAATACATTTAAATTATTTAACAAAAAAATCCTTCATTGTTTAGCGTTAAGAGAATTATTCATCTTTTATGCACACAAAGGTGGCAACTGAATTCAAAGTTCAAATTGCTGGGAGACCTGGAATTGTTTAGGGTACTGTTCTCTGTCTGGTTAGTAATAAATAATTGGTGGAGATCTCTGTAAATCATTCCAAGTACCACTGAACCTTGGGAAAAGATAAACATAAAACAATTAATGAGTTATGGAATATTATGTTTTATCAAATGAAATACGAATCAATGAGAAAACACGAAATGTTGAAATAGATGCTCAAACCATTGTATAAGTTTTTCGATGGAATGCTCAGGAAATTTTGTCCTTTGGATTCCTCGAGGTGAAAGTGGTGGCTTTCATTTTGATGGAAAATTTTCCTTACCAGAACATCTAGGGTAAAAGTGTACAGGATTATGATAGAAACAATAATAATGATGATGATTAATTATAATAACTAAGTTAATAATGATGATAATAATAATAATACATAATAACAATAATACATAACAACATAATAACATAACAACATAATAACATAATAACATAATAACAATACATGTAATAATAATAACAACCATAAAAAAAAGAAATTAACTTACATAAATGTGCGTAATATCGAAGAGCGAAAAAGGTTACCTATCGCTTCTCAAGATGGAAAAAAATAGTCAGGTTTTTATTCGAAAGATATTGAACAGTGAGAACAAAAAAATTGTATTACATGTACGTCGCCCTTGAATTTTATAATAAGGTTGTTCCATACAATGAACATACTTTCATGGTCAGCCCTTGAATCGGTAGAATGATGATGTTGAACGCACTTATTATCTTTAGAGAATGCCTTACCAACGTGTACGCTGCGCATGTTAAATTCAGGTGTTGTGCGATGAAAGTTAAGCTGTGCTTTTTCCAACAAAGATGTCTCCAAAGAGGTCAATTCAAGAAACATGTCCTCTATCTTGTCCTTCTTATTTTCACTTTTGCTGCAAGTCTCGTGGGTAAAATGCTCAGTAATGGACCGCAAAGAATCGAGGATATCCTAAGCAAACGGTAAAATGGTTTAGTTTTCAGAGAGAATTGATAAAGCATATTGATCTCATAATGGCCTTTTATTAATTATCATAACTGTTTCGATCAGCATGTCCGGTAAATAGCTATCGATATTTGATTTTATCAACACAGCAACATACTCCTCCTTTTTAATGTGGGGATAGAAAGGGTTTTGCGTAAAAATGTTTCATGATTAATTTTGATATAAGAAGCACGAACTAACTTCCTGCTACAAATTAAAAGTGATGTATTTACAATGATATAATTAGAATACCTCTTTGGGTGAGTCCATCCCTTTTTGCTGCTCGTCTGTGGGGAAAGAACGAATAAGTAGCACCTGCCATACTCCCTCAAAAAAGGGTTTGTTAATTTAAAGAGAATATGAGAACAATCAATGAAATAAATTGATAAATGAGGAAACACAAATTGATGGATGAGTGGTTGAAATCGAGAGAACGAGAGAACCATTGAAGGTGAAAGGATTGACTGAAGGATGTATGGATAGGAAACTGGATACAATCATACATGATATTTCATTGCATGTTAAAAACAAAAGGAACCTATTACGTACCATCTTGCGTTGCAATATCAAAGAGCTTTATCTCAATGGTATAGACTTTGTAGGACCATTCCCACCCACAGAAATGGACGTGAATGTTATACGGTGTGCCAATTCCTTCAGCATGCACCTTGATATTTGTCCAATGTCCCCTACGGAAGAGTCTGTTAAACCTACGAGCACATTTTTCCTGCCATCGAACAGATTGCCCGAGACAATAAGCGAAGTCTCTGCACCACACCGTACAATATCTTTGGATATAGTAATGGCATCTAATTTTGAACGATGAAAAACCAGTTCCGTTCCCAATTCGCTGACACGTGTCTTTTATCCCTCGAAGTTTCATTTCTGGGTAGCCTCTGGAGCACTGGTTACTACATGTAGGATCTTAAAAAAAGATTGGATTCCATCTTGAAATTTGAAAGAAAATACTTGACTGTACCCAAATTTCAATAACGAGTAATTTTTTTTTTCCCAGTGAACATCCTTTTGGTGACCGTCACGATTGCCATCATTCATTTCAGTCTTTTGCTCGATTATGATAATTCTGAAGTCATTAAAAATAGCAAAGAAATTTTTATTTCATTTACATTTACGTCAGCTGCGAAAACCTTTTTCAAGTATCGTAAACCTTTTCTTTAGTACTCGCGATCGTTGCTTCAGTGCAAATATTTTCAGCTTCAATTATCACTCAACTATGCTTTAAAGCATTAAGCCATCCTCCACGTCTTTATGTGTATTGCTAGAGCATAGAACAAATAATCAGTGTTTGGCGGTGATTGCTTTGATAGAGTAGACTATTCCTGTTTGTATCACACTAAAGGAGAATGAATGAGTATGAAGATGATATTAACCCCTCCCCCCGAAAAAAAAATAAATAAAAAAGAACAACAGAAGAAAGAAAAACTATGAACTCATACTTGAAGAATGGATGTATGGAAGGATGATGCTAAAGAACGAAAAAAAAGTCTAATAAACCGATATTTTTGTTCTGTTGGATGCTTTCTAAAAAATAAGTAAATTTGCCACAGTTTCGGGAATGACGATATATTCAGCAATATGGTAAAATCAATCATGTTACGATGTAAAATGCTATACTATTATGTCCTAGATTTTTGAAAACAACATTCACAACTTTCTTCCACGATAATTGAATATAATGAAAGAAAAAAATTAAATAAGGAGCTATTAAGACCCCTGTCCAAAAACCAATGAAATATAGAAATAAAATGCGTGGTACGTCCTGTCTCCAATAGCCCGCTTAAGGAGCCTCGAAAGGGTTTTCCACAATTAACAGCAAGTGGCAATCAGTAAAAGATATCAGGACTGTCAAACTTATCATCAGGATAATGACTTGACATCTGGATCTATGTTAGGGCAATCTTTTGAGGGGGTTCGTCAGGCATTATCTCTCGCCATGGCAACGGTACAGTAGTGCTAAAAGACCCTCTAAGACTCAGTTTTTGAAAGATATCTCAAAATCCTAGTCGGTGACCTAGTTTTTTTTTTTTTTTCAAATTTCTGAAACATCATCACATTATCTACCTGTATAAGTGATACTAAAAACAACTATCCAGTAGAACTTGAATTATTTTTTAGGCAAATGCTGTTTTAAAATGTAAAAAAATTTCTACTAGATAATTGTTTTTTACATTTTCTTAAGGAACGCGTAATGATGAAATTAATTTGTAAACAAAAAATCAGGGTAGGTCACCGAACTAATTTTCGAGATATTAGTTCATGAACTTAGCAAGCTTTATTTCCGGTTTTTGCAGTTTTAGCTCATACTTTTATATCCGGTCACACGTTTTAAACGATACCGCTGACTCAAGGGCTGATTTTCGCCGGATAAGCCCTTGTCCGCGCGATTAATCGACGGATTCCCTCAGCGCGGAAAAAATCGTTTATCCTGAAGATGGATTCACATTGTTTTGTGATTTTACACATTCCTGAAAAGCGAGTCATCATTTGAGACTCAGACTGCTTACCGTTACGACAGTTGGAAATGAACTCCGGAGAGAAGCTCCGGAGAGAATTATCCAGGGGAATTGAATTCGATATATGATGACAAGTTGATTTTGCAGATGGCACCAAGGCCAGTACTCCATTGAGGCCGTTAAATGTTGAGTTTCTCGTACAGAGATTGTAGTGTAACACGAGAAAAAGCAGCATCTGCCACCTTCTGTTCCATGTTCGTCGAAAGATGAAGCTTTCCATCGAACGTCTGGATGGTATCTTGTCGCTGTTCCGACAAGATGGCTCGATCGAGGGCCTCATTCGACGATGCACATTTACCATGATTGACCGATATAGTTGTTCATGTGCAATTTGAAGTGGAAGAGTGAAAACAATTTGGAGTGAAAATAATTTGCTTTGATGTCTTCCAGATTGTCACGAGCGCCAAACTCAGCGGAAATTAGGGTTTCAAATACATCAGAAATTTGTTGGTCGTCACAGATTTCGCGAATTTCTATAATTTTCGAGGTACTAGAGGTATGATCAAGCCTTGGTTTCATTTTTCTTTTTTTGTCTTTGCCACTGTCATAACCGTGAACTTTCATTATTCCATTTATTTGGGAAACAAAAAAAAAATTGCAATCCTTTCTTAACAAATGCGAGTTTGCATTTTCGTAGTTGTAATTCACAGTTTATCAAAGGAAATATTAACAGTCTTTCTCACAAGTTAAAGATGAATACTCTATTTCAATTTTATCGTCTGTGGTTGAATTATAATTAAAGTCTCATCTACATATTTACGATCTCTTGTTTACTGAAAATTATGTTTATTTTGATGGCAACATTTACACCTCTCCATTTCCGTTAATTAAACTGTCAATGTTTACAATCCTGGATGCAACGAGGATTCCATTTTCCTTTTCATCTTCCAGTGAGTTGTTTAGGAAAGTTTTGGGTCATTTCATTTTATTAGGAATCAAATTTAATGCGAAACAAATCGTAGTACTCAGTACCCTGGTCCCAGAGTCTTTGCTTACTCTTTTCTTACTATTTTCCTTCTCTTTACTTCTCACCGCTTCGCGGCTCGTAAAAACACAGAGAAGAAAAGAGTAAGCAAAGCCTCTGGGACCAGGGTAAGCACTCAGAGGTACCACTTCAATTTTTCGCGGAACGAAGTAAGATCTACCGAATGCACTCGACGCGACTTTATTGATGGGGTGCCGACTTCACCATCCTCGTTTCGCTCGCTAAATAAAATTTTTTTGACCACTTTCGGCAAGAATCGTGCCATCCGAACATTTTCCTATCCGCTTTCAAGAAGTAAAGATTCCATTTTTGTTTCTCAAACAACCACTTCCGCTGGAAACAGTAGAGCTGCCGGCAATTTTGAAACGCTCATGGCGGCCATGCTTGTTTACAACCCGCCCGCGGATCTGATCGCGCGCTCTATCGCTTCTTTCTCTCGAGAGTAATTAGCTTGCGTGTATCTTGGAATCCATTTTCCGCGCGGTCGAAAAAAGAACTTTTTTGAGCCTCCTTAATACAAGGAGTTTTCTAAAAGTTAACAGGGAGGTTACTGTTGATTTTGTTTTTTCGTACTCACCAATGACAAGTGCTAAGAAGAACACCCTCCAGAACATTTTGGCTAGAGATCCCTTTTAAGCTTTAAGTATGAATTCAGCCTTTCTGTGTCTTTGAGATCACCGTTTCGTTAAACGTTTCCATGTGTTCAAGGTATTGGTCCTTGTCTTATGGCTGCAGGCAAACGTGAGACCCAAGCTTGATCTTCTGAAAACAAGGGAGACAGCAGTAACAAAGTTCCGCGTGAGCGTTTTTAGCACATTATTCCTTGAGGTCGATGGCAATAAATGGACTATTTGGGTCCGCCTTTGTTTTACAAATTGAGACAAAACAAAGACATGACATGAAAACTTATTAAATACCAAAATGTCATGAAACTCCATTGGGCATTAGCAGGTGGCAGTTGAGTTAAAAAATGCTTAAAGCGGACGTTTTAGTCTCTTCATTATAGAAGAGCCGACAGTTTTCTCACCTCAGACACATTTTACCCCTTGAGTTTTCCTTACACCGATGTAATGATTTTCAAATTTACCCTTTTTTTTTCTTGACGGATGACCATTCATACAGTCACACTATTGCTTTTCCGGCTTGTTTGAAAATTTAAAATTCACCTGTAAGTTAGGCACACCATTTTAAATTGCTGATGTTCTTGCGTTGATGACATCGTCACCGACAGATGTGTAAAAATGAGGATTAAAACAAAACGATGGATAGACTTTCCAGTTGATTTCCTTAATAAAAAAGCCGAGCAGAATTTCTTAGCTGCATAAGTAACAAACATGAGGCCGAACACGTTTTACTTGTGTGAAGTAAATATTATACAATATTCCAATGGATATTTCATAATATCTGCCTTAGCTTAGGCCACGATATATTTTCATTCTTTATCTTTACGGTCAGAACTGATACTTAAAAAAAACATATTTTTACTTCGAAAATTACAAATCTTAACTCTCTCTAAAACTACTGAATTAGCGTTCTACGAATATAGACCTCCAAGAGAGATCTGCAATTAGCTAAGCAGATAGCCGATGATGAGTTGTCACAGAGCTTTATTATTTTACCGACAGGAAGAGAGATAACAGCTGAAGGTTATTAAAAAAACGTACATAGGTGGCCTCGTGGTTGGTGCGCTCGACTCCGGATCGAATGGTCCAGGTTCGAGCCACCGGCGGGGACTTTGTGTTGTGTTCTTAGGCAAGACACTTTACTCTCACAGTACCTCTCTTCACCCAGGTGTATTACATGAGTACCGGCAACTAATGCTGAGGGTAACCCTGCGATGGACTAGCATCCCATCCAGGGCGGAGTAGAAATACTCCTGGTCGCTTCATGCTATGGAAACCGGAGTTAAGCACCGGACACTGATGGGCCACGGGCTCGTAAACAGACTTTACCTTCTTTTTTCCTTAAGGTTTAAGATTCTACCGTTTTGGAATGAAAGTGAAAAAAAAACCATTTCCCAATGCCGAGGAAATGACAACTATTAGGCCAAGGAGAAAGACAAGAGTGAAGGAGAAATAAAGACGGACTGTCGGATGCGATAATTATCGTTGCTACTTCTTTTACCAACTTCATGCAATATCTGCGAACCCCTCAGTCATAAGATCATGCAATGAATGCAGAATTGAGATAGAATAAATATATGAAAATCATATATTTTGAACTGCGGTATTTGATACGTATGATGGACGATCCTCGCAGTAGATAGCGCTATTTGAGCAATAGCGAAATTCAGACCTGAAAAAAATCAGGCCTGTACGGGACTCGAACCACTGACCTCTGCGATACTAGTGCAGCGCTCTAACCAATTGAGCTAACAAGCCAACTGAGAGCAGGCCGTTAAGTTGATTCGTAATGAACCCGTGAAAGTGATAAATGAGATAGAATAAATATATGAAAATCATATATTTTGAACTGCGGTATTTGATACGTATGATGGACGATCCTCGCAGTAGATAGCGCTATTTGAGCAATAGCGAAATTCAGACCTGAAAAAAATCAGGCCTGTACGGGACTCGAACCACTGACCTCTGCGATACTAGTGCAGCGCTCTAACCAATTGAGCTAACAAGCCAACTGAGAGCAGGCCGTTAAGTTGATTCGTAATGAACCCGTGAAAGTGATAAATGAGATAGAATAAATATATGAAAATCATATATTTTGAACTGCGGTATTTGATACGTATGATGGACGATCCTCGCAGTAGATAGCGCTATTTGAGCAATAGCGAAATTCAGACCTGAAAAAAATCAGGCCTGTACGGGACTCGAACCACTGACCTCTGCGATACTAGTGCAGCGCTCTAACCAATTGAGCTAACAAGCCAACTGAGAGCAGGCCGTTAAGTTGATTCGTAATGAACCCGTGAAAGTGATAAATGAGATAGAATAAATATATGAAAATCATATATTTTGAACTGCGGTATTTGATACGTATGATGGACGATCCTCGCAGTAGATAGCGCTATTTGAGCAATAGCGAAATTCAGACCTGAAAAAAATCAGGCCTGTACGGGACTCGAACCACTGACCTCTGCGATACTAGTGCAGCGCTCTAACCAATTGAGCTAACAAGCCAACTGAGAGCAGGCCGTTAAGTTGATTCGTAATGAACCCGTGAAAGTGATAAATGAGATAGAATAAATATATGAAAATCATATATTTTGAACTGCGGTATTTGATACGTATGATGGACGATCCTCGCAGTAGATAGCGCTATTTGAGCAATAGCGAAATTCAGACCTGAAAAAAATCAGGCCTGTACGGGACTCGAACCACTGACCTCTGCGATACTAGTGCAGCGCTCTAACCAATTGAGCTAACAAGCCAACTGAGAGCAGGCCGTTAAGTTGATTCGTAATGAACCCGTGAAAGTGATAAATGAGATAGAATAAATATATGAAAATCATATATTTTGAACTGCGGTATTTGATACGTATGATGGACGATCCTCGCAGTAGATAGCGCTATTTGAGCAATAGCGAAATTCAGACCTGAAAAAAATCAGGCCTGTACGGGACTCGAACCACTGACCTCTGCGATACTAGTGCAGCGCTCTAACCAATTGAGCTAACAAGCCAACTGAGAGCAGGCCGTTAAGTTGATTCGTAATGAACCCGTGAAAGTGATAAATGAGATAGAATAAATATATGAAAATCATATATTTTGAACTGCGGTATTTGATACGTATGATGGACGATCCTCGCAGTAGATAGCGCTATTTGAGCAATAGCGAAATTCAGACCTGAAAAAAATCAGGCCTGTACGGGACTCGAACCACTGACCTCTGCGATACTAGTGCAGCGCTCTAACCAATTGAGCTAACAAGCCAACTGAGAGCAGGCCGTTAAGTTGATTCGTAATGAACCCGTGAAAGTGATAAATGAGATAGAATAAATATATGAAAATCATATATTTTGAACTGCGGTATTTGATACGTATGATGGACGATCCTCGCAGTAGATAGCGCTATTTGAGCAATAGCGAAATTCAGACCTGAAAAAAATCAGGCCTGTACGGGACTCGAACCACTGACCTCTGCGATACTAGTGCAGCGCTCTAACCAATTGAGCTAACAAGCCAACTGAGAGCAGGCCGTTAAGTTGATTCGTAATGAACCCGTGAAAGTGATAAATGAGATAGAATAAATATATGAAAATCATATATTTTGAACTGCGGTATTTGATACGTATGATGGACGATCCTCGCAGTAGATAGCGCTATTTGAGCAATAGCGAAATTCAGACCTGAAAAAAATCAGGCCTGTACGGGACTCGAACCACTGACCTCTGCGATACTAGTGCAGCGCTCTAACCAATTGAGCTAACAAGCCAACTGAGAGCAGGCCGTTAAGTTGATTCGTAATGAACCCGTGAAAGTGATAAATGAGATAGAATAAATATATGAAAATCATATATTTTGAACTGCGGTATTTGATACGTATGATGGACGATCCTCGCAGTAGATAGCGCTATTTGAGCAATAGCGAAATTCAGACCTGAAAAAAATCAGGCCTGTACGGGACTCGAACCACTGACCTCCTATTTTCATATATTTATTCTATCTCAAGACTAGAATATCTAACCATTTCTTGATGTTATAGAAAGGTAGCAAATTCTTCTCAATTATTTTAAGACCCTGAGTGTTCTTCCGGCCGGGGCTCGAACCCTCGACCTCCCGCACAACAGTCCAGCGCTCTATCCATTGAGGTAACTGGGAGGCGGTTGTAAATAACCATGGTTAATAATGAAATCAAAAGATCGATGAAAAAAATAAATCAAGGAAAACTAATAATTGATAAAAGGCTCGAAAATCACTAGCTAACATCAGAATTGTTTTGAATAAATGAAACACCTATTAAAAACGTAGTTAGCCCGTTATTGTAATCGTAATTCAAAAACACCTTGTACACATGTA